TGAACCACTGGAGTAGTCTGTGAACCACTGGAGTAGTCTCTGAACCACTGGAGTAGTCTCTGAACCACTGGAGTAGTCTGTGAACCACTGGAGTAGTCTCTGAACCACTGGAGTAGTCTCTGAGCCACTGGAGTAGTCTCTGAACCACGTGGTGGTGGTGGCGGCGGCCATGGAGCTAGTTCCAACTCCCGAGGAAACACTGCCCAGTCTGTGCCGTCTCCATGATTGTTAGTATGTGTGCATCCATTAGCTGTGGCTATGAAGTGCTTTCCCACTTAAGGGACACCTCTACCAGCACCCTGTCAAACAATTTTCTGTTATAGTCCCCAAGGTTTTCATTGGCAAATTTTAGAGAAATCACCAGACCTTTTCTTGCTAGTCTTATGTTAGTCTAGGCGCTCCACCATAGATGACCCTGCTTGGTGGCATGGCTTCCAGCATGATGGCAATATACAAGCTGCCACAGGTAGGACAACCTGACACATTAGGCTTGTGTTGGGTCAGGACCTTACAAGAATTCATTGGGTTTCTTTGCAGCTTTGTGAAAAGCAAGGACCTGACGTGGGATGCACCATGTGCATCCCTATAGAAGCTGTTTCTGTAGTTTCCCGCCTTTGTCTGTTGAGGGGGTGGCATGCCTCTCCTGTGCTCACAGCAAACCAGACCAAACGCACTGCCCTCGAGGTGCGGCTGACTCCTGTGACCCTATGGGACAGGGTGGCACTGCGCCTGTGAGTTTGCTGACTTGGTGATCGCAGCCCCGTGTGTAACCACGCTGCCATCAGCGTTTGTCTTCTTCACGTGCCATTCCTACCGCCTGTCGCGCTCTCTCCTGGACTGTGACCTTTGAGGGCAGGGACCACATCTCACTCTTTTTTTGTCTTGTGCACAGAGCTCAGTAGATGTTAACGGAAGAAAATTCCCCTACGAGAAAGACCTACAAGTATGGCGTTTGCTCTTGAGGAACTTGTTGCACAAATCCTTTCAAAAGTCCCTGGATGTTGGTTGTCACTTCCACCTTGTTTCTGACACTCTCCTCAGGGAACCTTCTGTCTTTTGACAACAGCTCCTGGGAATCGGCTATTTGTCTTCGTTTAAAAATTGCTTGCAGTCAAAATGACACAGGCATGCAGATCACAAAGTAACCTAGGACGCCAGGCAGCAGGCTCTGCCTCCTCCCTCACCAGGCTCTAACCCAGTCCACCCCCCGCCCCCTTCCATTCTGCTGGTGATGCTTCCAGTGTGTGCATCACCGCATTATACCTCTTTTCCTTATTGATCCATTAGCTGTTGACTTCCTCTTCTGGAAGCCGTGTTAAGCTCCTTTGTATCCCCTCCCATTTTCCCCCTTCCCGAATCATCCCACTGATGTGGAACCACACGTTCTGGTTAAGTCAGGAGTCAGCTTTCACATCCTCGTGACCATGCACATTTGTTTACAGAGGATTCCGTGATCCTGCCGACGCACCTGGAGTTAACCACCGCTGGTTTTCATTTGCTTGGTTTCTACTACTTACTCATTTTAATTCTTCTTAGAGGATCCATCTGATGCCACGTACCTGTTAATGTTTTGTTTTTTAACTACCTCCTATAATTTTTCTGGAAGTTTCTCCTGACAGAGACCCGTGGTCCTGGGGCTGCTCTTCTGTGTTGGGCCCCCTCGTTCCAAGATCCCAGGGTCTTTTCTGGCTTATTCTTTGTTTTTCTGGAGTTTGCTAAGAAAGATGCATGGGGAAAAAATTTTTTTTTGTCTTTAGATGAATGAAAATACCTCTCACTTTTAATTAAGAATAGGACTGGATATAGAATTATGAGTGAAACAGGACTTTGTTAGAACTTTGAAGGCATTTTCTCACTAGCTTTTAGCACCCGCTGTTGCTCCTAGGCAACCTGATGACATGTCGAATCCTTTTCCATCAGAGAAAACCTATTATTACTTCTCTAGATAGAAGCCTATAGGAGGAGCCTCATCCTAAAATTTACAATGATTCCCTTGGATACTTGGAAGACTGTTTCATCGTCGAGTTGTGACTTTCAGTTCTAGAAAGTTCCATGGAATTGTTTCTTTAATAATGTTCTCTTTGTGCTTCCACTGTACCTTTTGAAATGCCTCTGGGTCCAATGTTGGGCTTTTTGGGTCATTTTTTACCTAATCTTTTCTACTTTCCATCCTGACCTATATCACTGACACATTTTCTTCTTTTTTTTTCTGACACATTTTCTTGACATTGTTTTACATTTCTATTTCTGGTTATGAAATGTAAAACTTAAAATGGTTATCTCTGGTTCTCTGATTGTTTTATGGACCCAATCATCTTTTGTACTCTGTTAATATTTTGTGTGCCCCCCCACCCCCCTGAGTTTTCTTCTACTTGTCTTGGTTCTGACGTTCACGATTGGCTAGGTTCTGTTGGCTGTTGGCACCGAGCTGGCTTTCCGTATCAGGTGATGTTGGCTCTCCATTCATATTTAAGCTTAGGGCAGTGGTTCTCAACCTTCCTCATGCTGCGACCCTTTCATACAGTTCCTCATGTGGTGGTGACCCCCAGCCATACAATTATTTTTCATAACTGTCATTTCATAACTTCATAACTGTCATTTTGCTGTTATGAATCAGGCGACTCCTGTGAAAGGGACGTTCGACCCTAAGAGGGGCCGTGGCCCACAGGTTGAGAACCACTGGCTTAAGGAGGAGCTTGTTGACTGAGGGCCTTCATCTGATAGTGAGCCTTTTAGCTGGGCTCTGCTAGGGTCAGCATCTGGAGGCTGTTCTCTGGACTGTGCAGGGAACCCAGAGAGGAAACCCAGATTTGCCCCCACCCCTGCCTCCTAAGGAGGGCACTGATGTATTTGGTACTCTGAGACTGCGTTGGGAAGGAGGCCGAGCGCCCCCCCCCCAGTTCAGCTTTTACGGAACCACAAGTTCACCTGCCAGTTTGACCCTGTTCTCTACACTGGGTTTCTGGAGTCTGCCTAGCTCAATTTCTCTAGAGATTAACCCTTGGTCCCCTGTGAGGGTGCTGGCGGTGTTTGATACTTGGGTGGGAAAGACAGGAGAAGATCCTTGGCAGTTTCAGCCCTACATCAACAGCCCCACCCACCCACACCCCACACCCAGCCGTACACCAATACCGCCCTACCGATCCACCCACCTACACTCACAGCCCTATACCAATTACCAACTCCTGCCCACTTCCTAGCCTCAAGCTTCTGTTTTTGCTTGGGAAAACAGCTTGCTCTCAGCGCTAACCTCGTGCCCGTTCTACGTTTAAGGGCATCCAGTCAGTGAGTGAACCCATTGCTCCTTTTCTGGTCTCTTTGACTTTGTTGAGTTTTCCCCCTCCCGTCACTCCACTAGAAAGGTAGGGAGGAGAGGAGCTGGGATGAGTCCACATTGAGTGGTCAGTCTTCTGCCTTACAGGCGGAGCCTCCTCAGAAGAGCAACTGGAGGCAGAAGCACGAATCTTTTATCCGGACCCTCCGGCAGGCTCGAGAGGTCCAACAGGTCATTGCCAAAGGGGGAAACCCCTCCGACTTGCTCCACATCTTGCCGGCTGAAAATCCCGACTATGTTCAGTGCCCTCACTGTAGCCGCCACTTTGCACCCAAAGTAGCCGAGCGACACATCCCCAAATGTAAGACCATCAAGAACCGCCCCCCACCTCCAAGGAAGCACTACAGTTGAGCACCCCACCAGCAGGACCCTCCTCGAAGTTCAGAAGGCTCTACCCTTTTTCAGCAGCACGCAGCAGGCAAGCAATTGGATGGGAGCAGAGTCAAGACCTGGCCACCTTCCAGATCGACTGCAGAGCCAGAATCAGCCAGGACACCGTGGTTAAGCCACAGGAGGTGAAAGGTGTCTAGCTTCCCCCTCAATGACTCCCCCACTCCCACGCCCAAGGCTGGTGCACCTTGTGGTATTTCCCTAAGATCCTATGGGTACAGACACTTGCAGTAAAGCTCTCTTTTCACCAGCCTGGCTTGTGGTCTTGTGCTGGGGAAGCCTTGCCCTGAATGCTTCTGGCTCCAGAAAGATGACTTACTGGGATGAGTTGGCATGGGAGGGTCAGGGTCACCCAGATGGCATCTCTTAGCAAAGATAATAAGCATTATTCATGGAAGCCTACCCGATCTCCGTGCCTGGTCTTGGCCCAAACCCAACCAAAGTGTGTAAGGGTTCTGGCACCTGTACCTCCTCCAACCTCCCCTATGGTGTCCTGCCTAATTAAGGAAACCTCATCTCTGTGTACTTTACCGGCAAGGGTGGGGGAAGCACACTGTACTCTTCGGAGCTGGTCCTTCCTAATGGTTGCATGTGTGCAGGGAGGCCCTGGGCTTCAGCCGGTGCGAACGCTGCTTTCCAATGAGGCTGGCTGGATGGTTTTTTAAATGAGGCAGCAAAATCCACTCTCCCGACAAGCTGGATCATCACTGCAGTGTCACGTGTCTGCCGCTTACACCACAGTGGACATATGTTTTAGCGTAAGCTTTGCAGGGAAAGGGGACAGCTCTGTGTCATGTTCTCCGTGTAGATTGTGCCGAGTGCACGGAACCACCATCACAGGCCCCGATAAGTGGTCTGGGGGACATACAGTCAAGGATGATGCGTGCAAGTTCAGCTTCGAGGGAAGCACATTCGCTCAGAGGGCGGAGGCCAGCACAGTGACCTGGAATCCTGGGAGAAGGGCTATCCTGGGAGTCTCAAGCCAATGGCTTAGAGTACTGGAGAAACACCACCCAACTCCAGCTGGGCAGAAGTCAAAACTGAGCCCATGCCGAGCCATGCTTCACCCAACAGGGCAGCCTGCCGCTCCTGTTCTGTTTCCCAGTGGCCGGCTGATGGATTAGGATTTGAAATGGAGCTTCAGGACCCCAGGCAGGGAGTGGGAGGTACTATACGTAACAGCATCAATGACTTGCGGCAGTATCACATGGCCTTTGGGCTGGCCCCACACAGACACGCAGTGTGTGCATTCTCCAAGGCCAAGCCAACACCCTGATCTTTGAGTTGAATCTGACTTGCACTGTAAAGGCAGTGGAGTTGGCCCACGGGGTTTTTCTCGGTCTTTATAGAAGCCGAAGGCAGCTGGTGGGCTTGAGCAGCTCATGTCTGGTTTACAGCAAAGCATTTAAACCACTGTGCCCGCAGGACTCCTTGATTTGCCCCACAGAGGTTGTCGGTGGCGGGCACAGCGTTAAAAAGAAGCATCTCTTGAAAACCAGCAGCTCTGGAAACACTGGCCAGCCACCCCCCATAGCACCAGCTGGGCGGGGTCACTCCTGGCTTCTCCTTCAACCAGAAGACCAGTCCCCAACCCACTTCCTTCACCTCAGCTGCCTGCTCCCGAGGCTCTTGGCTTTGGGACCCCTGGATGATGACCAGGGCTCTCCAGGGAAAACAAGCGTGTTTGCAGAATGCTCTGTACAGGCACAGGAAAGTCACTCGTTCTGATGCGACTGGAGAAATAAAAACACCAGCCAATGCCTCCATGTCTTCTTGGGTACCAAAATGCTTAGGCCTCAATTTCACTAGAAACGTTTCTTTCCAATTTTGCTTGCTCAGGTCTTTAGAAGAGGTAAGGACCCTTTTCCACCTCCGTCTCTTCCTGGACAGCATGGTGGACAGAGGGACAAATGCTGCTAGTGTCCATAGTTCACATTTGCCAAGAATAAGTAACAAACAAAAACCCAAACTCACTGCCATCGAGTCAATGCTGACTTCTGAGATGGTCACTCTTTACAGCCGTACAAAGACCCCCGTCTCTCTGCCCTGAGGCGCAGCCGGGACCCTATGGTTACCAGGCTCCTCCTCAGAACAAGTCGAGAGGATACATTTTAAAGTCCCGTGGGCTCACCCACAGGGAACAGCGCACAGTGACACCCACATGAGAATTTATTTAAGCGAACGCAGACTTGACTCCTGTATCTCCTCCCACAGTACTTCCAGCTCCCGTTTGGGTTCATTCCTCACCCTTCCCAACTGCATGGGAGACGGCAGCGCTGAGGTCATGGCGGTTCTGCTGCTGTGTGGTTTGCTGGTCTGCACATACCACTGAAGCAGCAGATGTTCCGTGGCTTTACGGCCAAGGGGAGACTGCTTACAGTTTAACTACAGCCTCCTCTGTCCTGATACACTGACGAAGACTGCTTCACTGAAGGTACATCGTTCACTCTGGAGTTGTTTGTTCTGAATGTGAGTTTAAGGCAGCATTTGCTTCGAAATGCCAGGCCAAGAAAGGGTAGGACTTGGCTGTGCTATGCCAGGGAGAGCAGACACAGTATGAACATAAGCTGGCAGCGCCACCCAGGAAAGCCCCCTGCAGGTGAGACGCGCAGCCCGTGACTTGCTCTTTCAGTGGGTCACCTTTTCTCCCTCTGCACACTCAACGTAGTTTAGAAGTCTTTAGGGGAGTGGTGTGGAAATGATGGTCGGCCAAGAAAAATGGGAAAGAAGCCAAAATGATTTCTGTGCAAGTGTCCCTTGCACGGTTTCTGGTACAAGAACATGTATTTATTTACATAAAGAGTCACTGAATCAAAGCTTCCTGAAGGCCTACCACCTGGCTGCTGGCTGCACAGAGACGAAGGTCCATGTGCAGGCTTACTGAGGCACAGCACTGGTTGAGAGTTAAAACTGTTTATTTAAAACAAATGCCAAATCACTCCACCCTCAACCTTTCAAACATCTGGGTAGCAATAAGCTAGTTCTTCAGCCACAGTGTGGAGCAGAGTACTTGGGTGAGACTCAGAAGCAACTACTGGAAGATTTAAAATACCCAGCACTGTCTAGAGGGAACATGGGACAGAACTCCGACGTGAGTTAGCAGCAGAAAATCATTCAAAGCCCCTTCTCCTGCCTCACCTTTCAGTCTTTATCTGATGCCGGATACCCATCCCCTCGGAATTGCTTTCTGTTTGCATAGGTGGGAAGGCTCCTATGGCTGTCCCAGGCACCATTTGGCAAAGTGCAAATTGTCCCTAAGGCACAGACAGAACTTAAATTCTCAGCCAGATGAATAGCAAACCTAGACTTCCTAAGGGGAAGGTGCCAAACAGCCCCAGTGTTCCACTGCTAGGGAATGACACCACGGGAACCAGAGCGTGGCTCGCAGTCCTTCACTGTCACTTTCACCCCGCCGTCGTTGTAGCCACATGCCTTTGTCCTTCGGTCCCACAGCAGAAGCAATACTATGATCACCAACCAAACCGCCCTGCCTCTCAGGCCTGCTGAGATGGTGAGGGATACAGGAAAGTGGGAGGCCAGTCAGTCCTCGACAATCTCGAAACTACATTCTGTGTGAACCCAAACCCACGGGTGGGTTGACAGCAAATCCCCAGGACTTGTACCCTCAACTCAGGGTGTCCCTTTTCCTTCTTCAAGAACAGGGTTGGTGAGTACATTAGTACCGCTGTACTTGGCTTCCCAGAACTGCAAAGACAATGGGAACATCACACCAAAGAAGATCCCACCTGTCCCCAGTCTGCAGGGTGGGGGTGGGGGGTGGGGAATGGGAGCTCCCCGAGCAGCAGCCTATTCACATCAGTGGCTGTAAGGAAATGGCAAAACGTCCACTGCACAGCTCCGAGCCCCACTGTCCTAAGAGAGAACACTCATTGCTTTGGCTGGAAGAGAGGGGAACAATTTCACTGGCTACGAGAAAGTAAGAACCCCGAGTCACCAATGCCGCCCCTGTGAGCCCTACTGCCACTGAGCGTTTCACAAGCCAAGGCAGAAACACACAGCTCACCTCCCTAGGAGACTGCTCGCCCAGAATCTCGTTAACCAAGTGTCATCCTTCGTGGGCACTTCTCTTTCTGGCAAGCTAGTTTGCTCCCATCCACATGGCCACATGAGAACAGAGAAGAGAGTCCTCAGCCAAATCCCTTTCCCTCAGCACGTTCTCTCAGCTCTGGCAGGCTTCAGGGACTCCGAGTCTGGTACTGCCTTTGGGTCATTCTAGTAGGCAAATGATAGATTCACAGGTTATGATATGGCTTCAAAAAACACGAGAAGGACGAGTACTGGCTAGACAGAGACTGGAGTGATTGGGTAGTTGCTGTCGAGAACGCTGTCTCTAAGAGTCATGGAGGCGGAGGCACCGGCCTCAGAGGCCCTCTTGTCCCTCTCAAGTAGAGAGCAGCAGGGGCCGATAAAGGAGGCCCTTCTCTCCCTCATGTGGTTTGCTTAGGGCCTTCCTGCTGCCTCACGGACTCAATTCTTCACCTCGTCCTGCATCAGAGACAGCCTGAAACTGCAGCTGTGTGATGAGGGGGGAACCCGGCCGTCACTCCTCATGGATAACATTTCAATCAATCTGCAGAGAAAAAGCAAGCAAAGCCCACTTTTCTCCCTAAAGCGTTTCGTTGCACAAAGTAACTGAGTTTTTCTGACAACCAGCCCTAGATGGACTCCACCAGACATATTTTCCTGGGCTTAGGGCTCCTGAGAGGGCTCTGAACTCTTCAGCACTATTGAGATGGCCCTACACAGTCCCGCCTGGTTCCAGACCACTCCGGCTTTACACGTTCCCCCACCCCCCCAGAGGGGCAATGCCTAGTGTTGAATTCCCAAGGCAGCTTCCAATTAATGGTGAAAACGATACATGAAATATAAGCTGCTACCAGCGCAATTAGGGTGAGCATCGTGTCTCCTCTTCAGAGGTGGGCTCAAAGGCGAGGTACAGAGCTGCTGTTGCTATGGTAGTCACTGAGGACAAAGCCAGGGCCACAGGGCCCTCCATTCTCCAAAACAATACAGTCACTCCTAGATCCTATCTAAAAGGCCACGGCACCCTCCACGTGTGTGTGTGGAAAGTGCTTCCAAGCCCCGCTGTGCGCTCCGTGTCTGCCGTGAACGAAGCCAGGAAAGCTGCTCTCTGCATTCTCGGTAAGTGTGCTGTGAAGTTCTTGGGACCCCAGTTTCCTGGGGCTGTAAAGGCTCAGAGGCCCGATCGACAGGAGTCTGTTCCCAGCAGGCACCAGGAGTCTGAATCTAAGTCAGGTTTTGGATCTACTTCCATCTCTTCCTTGGCTGTCTGGGTTCCTTTGGAATGCATCCCCACCTGTCCAGAGAAACCGTAAGCACAGTGATTAACAGGGCCACCTAGTCATGTGGTTTTGTCAGTTCAAGACTATGTTTTTAATTCCAACCTCTAGCTACAGCGTCTAGCTACAGGAAAGGTGGCCTGGTTTGCCCAGGACTACAAACTTTTTTAAATTAGGAAAACAAAACAAAATATATATATATATATAAATTTGGGTTGTATCATTCCATAGTTCAATCATGTCAAGCAGAACTATACACAATCGGTTTCCAGAGACACTCTTGGTTTTAAAACTGGAACAGTCCTGGGCCAAACAGTGGTCTGTCCTGTCTGCGCTGCCAATCACCCGTATTCACAGGACAAAGTACTTTTCATAGAGCCTCCATTTACTCCGCACCACACCCCAGGTGGGCACCTAGGGTTTCCTCCCCTACTTCAGAAACCGCAGATGGCAGGAACGTGTCTTGTCCAAACAAAGAACAGGTACGTGGCAGGACTGAGGGTTGACCCCTATTTTCCTCATCCCAGCTCACACTCTAAAGATACATAGGATGGCTCTTAAAGACACTGGAGGCTACATCTTTACAGAAAAGACCAAGTAGCAAGGAACCAGCTAACCCCTCACCCAAGCCAACCAGACCCAGAAGGCAGGGCAACCTGTGACACGTCTGTCCTGGCTTCAACAATTCAGTGACATGAAAATACAAACCAAACAAAATGGCGGCAGAGGTGGAGGGAGCTGCTCTAGATCAGGGGAGCAAACTGTGGGCCACGAGCCATAGGCAGCCCTTTCGGTACATACATGGGGCTCTAAAGTAAAATGGAGAATGAAAATAAAACTCACCGTTTCATTTATAAAATTTTAAAAGGATATTATTCTGATAACGGTGATTTAATTTATTTGCAAAAATATATTTATGGCTCCCACATAATTTTTGAATTGTTGTGAGGGGCAGGATTGACTCTTCTGTTTTAAAAATTTGCCAACCTCTGATCTAGATGGAGAGTTAGAGAGACAATATCAAACGTCATGAGGGATTCTTGACTGAATTCTGGACCGGGTGGACAACCCACCCCCTCTGCGAACCCCACAGTAATAAAGGGCTTTTTTTTTTTTTTTTTTTTTAATTTATTTTTTAAAAGGGCATTTTTTGTGGGAAAATTGGGAGTTTCAACTGGATAAGTGGATGAGAGTTGAAAATATTAGTTTTTATATATAAACATATCTACTAAAATATTGTAGTTATAAAAGAGAACCTTTAGTTTTGTAGGCACATAAAACCTTTAAAAAGTACCTAAAGGTGTTATAACATGATTTTTATCATTTAAAATGGTTATATAAAATAATATTTTTATATTTGTATACTTATACACCTGGAGCAAATACCTCAACATGCTAACTGTGACTCTAGGTGGTAAATAGATAGGTGGTCATGGTCCTGCAATATTTACAATTTTTACTCTCTAAAAAAGTAGAAGAAAAAACCATGAGCTTTAGGCGATGACAGTGGCTCAATTCAGGTGCCTGAACAAAACCGGGGTGTGTGTGTGTGTCTAAAGACGACAGTTACACCGTTAAAGGTAGGTCTCTGCCGAGGAACACACCTATGTTCAGTGCTTGCTGTTCCCTTTCAGTGACCCTGCAAACCCAATTCAGACATGGAATGATTGTGTCCAGGGTCTCACCTGCTGCCCTCCTTCTACTCTCTTGTTTCGGAGTTGAGCAGAAATCTGGAGGTTTTCTTGCTGTAGCTTCTGTTGATCCGCCAGACACTTTAACACCAGACCCTGCAATCTCTCCACCTCCAGTTGTAGGGTGCTGCAGGCACAGGTCGGGGGGCTCAGTGGTGTTCCCTTCCCGGCACACGGTAGGGCAGGAGTCAGCCGGGGAGGCTGCAGGACAAGAGAGACCCATCACAGGAGGTCCTGCCCAGGCGCCACAGGTCCCCAACTCAGTCTTCCTTTACATCTACTCAAGTTGTACTTCTCAAGCAACAAGATCAAACATGAAGTATATACGTCAAAGAAACAGTACAGGGACTCGCTAACAGCATGGCATGATGGGGGCCCTCGGGGCCTCAGTCTACCGTCTACTAACAACAGCCACCATCGATTGTGGGGGCCTCTGCAGAAATGTTTCAAGTGCATTAATATCCTCTCATTGAAAATGTTGAAGCAGGAAAAAGCATAATTTAGTCAGAACAAGTCCTTCTGGTATGGTGGGGCCACTGTGTCCTTCTAACTGGAGTGAGGCACTGTGATCAGAAGGGTTAGTATCCCACAAACTGGACGGTTAAAGCGATTCTAGGTTTTAAATTCTGCACAGTTGCTTAAACAGAACAAGGTAATACTGCGTGGTTTAAACCAGATATGGTTGCATCCTTTCACCATGCCTACTCTGTACTCCGAAAGGCTGGACTCTATGAAGACGAATGCAGCATCGGACTGGACGGAGGATGCTTCTGATAACAACCTGTACCACGTAGATGACACACCCTGCTTGCTGCAAGCAAAGGGGACTCGATGGACTAGACCTCAACATAAAGAACACAACAGCTTCACAAAAGGACTAGCAAAAGCAACCTCATGATCAATGCAGAATGACAATGTCAACGATGTATTTTTATTTGGGTCCACAATCAAAAGCCATGGAAGCACCCGTCAAAAATCAATGAAATGTTGCATTGAAAAATCTGCTGCAAAAGACCTCTTTAAAGTATCAAGAAGTCAAAGGATTAACCTAAGCCACGGTCGTTTCCATCTCCTAGCATCACGCAGACTGGACAACGAGTAAAGGGGATGGGAGAAGGGCTGCGTTTGCAGGACGGTGTTGGCAAAGGGCCGCTGTGAGAGCACCAGTGGCTACCCGAAGAGGAAACACCTGCCTTGGAAGAAGTGAGGAAGGCGAGACTGTCTGACACCCTGTGGATCTGTTATCACAGGGACCAGTCCCTGAAGGACATAGAGGCGACGTGAAAGGGGAAGATCCTCAACAAGACGGACTGACACAGCGGCGACAACAATGAATCCAACTACAGCAACGACCGTGAGTCTAGTCCAGGACCAGGCCATGGTGGTCCTGCTGTACATGGGGTTGCTATGAGTTGGAAGAGTCAGTCCCTATGAGTACGATCTGATCCGACAGTACCTCACATCTGAGGAATTAATGCACTCACACTGAAGTTTCACAAGTTGTATGATCTCTTCCAGAAAGCTTTTCAACAACCCTAGTCTGGATCTTTCGCCCTTTTCCTAGTGCATTTTGCTTATAGCAGGGATTGGCAAATCCAGCTAGTGGGCCAAATCCAGCCTAGTGCCTGTTGTTATAAATATAACTTTGCGGGAACACAGGCAGCTTATTCATCACACATTACCTATGGCTGCTTCTGTGCTACAAGGGGCAAGCTGAGTGGCTGGAAAACAAGGCGTACATCTGCAAAACCAAAAATAATTACTGTGTGGCCTTTTACAGGGAATGTTTTATGACCCTAACTAATAGATTAATTGGCCGCCATTTGGTCTCTTTCAAGGCTAGGTGCACATGTGTCGTCGTTTCAGTAGGCTCAACGGGCATTACTGACCTATATGTAGTCTCCAATCTAATTTAGCCATGTCAAGCGTAGTCAATTGAACTTGGATTTTGGAATTTCAATCTTGGTACGTTTTAGGCAGAGGAAAAAGAATGACAACCCTCTGGTAACTAGCCTGTCAGAAAATACCTTTCCAAGTCAGCTCAAGTTAGCTTCGGGAGAGACCTTGACTACTACTGAACAGTCAATGCAGGGAAGCTGGAAGACCAAGGAACAACAAGAGCTGACAGCGAGGCCAGGAGAATGGGCCAGGCCCACAGACACTGTTTACCAAGATAGGGTTCAAAGACAAGCAGTTCAGTTACCCAGGCCACGACGGGAGGCTTGTGTTCTGAAGAAGCTTCGGAGGCCACTTTGAGTCCTTGCAGCTCTTCAAAGGGCAGGGTATCTTTCTCGGATTCTGAAAAGGCTGCACTCAGGGGGCAGGGGCTGTCAGGCATGGGGATGAATTCTGCGTTTTCCAGCTCCTGTGTGTGTATGAGAAAGAAGAATCTTAACCCTTCTGTTGGCAGCAATTGACTTCCTCCTGGGTTCCCTTCCCTCTCTTGCTATAGCTTTCACTGCCAGGCCGCCATCACCCTCTAGTGGACAGGACGCTGTGATGAACAGCATGCAGCTGCCTCTGCTTGTGGACAGCCTGCTCAATCTCCTTGGGGGAATTTGCGGATACAAATTCGAAGTCAAGAACCTGGCCTGGAGCATCGTCTAAGCACACTCAGGCTACAGATTCAGTGAGGCCCCTAAGGGCCAAGGCTGACATTTTAGATCGGCCCGGTTCCTCCTCCCATCTCCTCAATCACTGCCAAGTTTAATCTTTTTGGACAATCTTCTGAGGGGGTAAAATATAAGCGTTCATAAAGTGTAAGTGTTCACTGTAGAAAGTGAAAAAGTATAAATGGGCAAAGGAAGACAATGAAACCCACCAGAGACTCTCACACACAGATAACCTGTTAGGATCTTTAATATTCAACTGTGTAGACATGCTTGCATACCTTAATCTGACTTGCTTAGATACTCCAGCCTTTTCTGCTTATCAGTTTGTTGTGTACAACTTTTCATGTAAGTAATACACGCCAATGCTTCTACTGTCTGTACCTCAATTTCACAAAGCGTTTCCATGCCAGGCATTTCAAATGCCCCAATATTATATAAAATGCACTAAAACAAAACAACCCTAATAGCTTTATCATGCTCACATGCAGTACAAAAACTGCCTTCAAGGAAGGCTGTATTATTTAACATGCACTTAGGTGACAGAGGAAAAGGATTTTGTATTTCAGTTTGTTGGGGAGAAAAGGAAGGGTCACTGAAATCTTCCTAGCAGAAATCAGAAAGCCAAACATCTCCCATGAAGCAGTGGAAGAGGACATGAGAAGCAAGTGGTCCTGCCGGCTACAATGTGCCCTTCTCTCTACCAGAGCAATTACCTTTCGAAGCCAGCCAGGACAGGAGCTGCTGGCCCCACTGCTGATGCCCACAGCCTCAGTGGGACTGATGAAACCTTCCATTCCTCGGTCTGCTTCCATTGTTCCTCGGAAGCCCCCACTTGGATCAGGGGTTTCCGATTCTTGCCGGCTGTCCTCTTCCTCGACACCACTGCCACCAGTTCCTGGGCTGGAGCTCTGAGCCACTGACAAAGAGCACAGAAGTACAGAGCTTGGGAGATGTGGGGAAGTGAAATTTCTTAATATGGCTCACTTAGTCATGTCTGTAAAAGCCCCAGGGGGTGTAGTGGGTTATGAGTGGGGCTGCTAACTACAAGGTCAGTGGTTTTAAACCACCTGAGGCTCAGACGGAAAAAAGATGAGGCTTTCTACTCCCATAAAATGTCTCCGAAACCCACAAGGGGAATCTTCCTCTGTCCTAGAGGGTCGCTGTGAGTCTGAACTAACTTGAAGGCAGTGAGCTTATCCATGTCTCTGTAACTCCAACTAAATGATTCGGTGGGACTATGCAAATAGAGGGCACTGGTCAGTTCTGATGACCATTCCTCTGGGTTGAAGAGAGCCACTTCAGAAGCAAAGAGAGAAAATCCTGGGACCATCAAGGAAAAAGAACCATCAGTAAGGGATGTTTCAGATCTCTGTCTAAAGTAGCAGAGGCCAAGAGGCCAAGACCAGACACCAGAAGTCGAGACACAGACACAACGGAACAGTCACCATCCTCTAACCCAGTGGTTTTCAACCTGTGGGTCGCGACCCCTTGGGGGATGGGGTGGGGTGTAGAACGACCCTTTCACAGCAGACAGTGGTCACCGGATTCATAACAGTAGCAAAATTACAGTGATGAAGTAGCAACGAAAATAATTTTATGGTTGAGGGGTCAGCACAACATGAGGAACTGCAGGCAAGGGTCGCAGCATTAGGAAGGTTGAGAATCACTGCCCTAGAAAGTTTGGAAGGCAGATAAGATGGGGGAGCCATGGACGAAGTGGGAAGATTGCTTTTACATTGAAGAGATTGCAACCAGTGTCACAAAACTAAAGGTGCATAATCTGTTAAATGGAAAAAGAATTTACTCTGTAAACATTTCGGGTTATTTTAAAGGCATGCAGTCTGTTGCTGACTGCTCTTTTACTCTCTCCATTACAGAAATATTTGCAGATGTTCATGTTCAAGTCTGGATCAGGCTTTCAACTATTTCTTTTTGTGAAATTAATCTGTTTCTGTCCTGCTCAGCAGACAGTTTAAGAAGACAAAGTCTTTAACTGATTTGATTCAACAAAATATCAAAATATAGGTTCTGAAACAGCAAAGGCCTCTTGGGGTTGTAACAGAAACCAGAATGGAACACAGATTCAATTTCCTTGGATGGCCCCAAATAATAGAGAGCCACGAAGAAAACAATACAGGGACAATTACCAGAGCTGTGCCTGATTTTCTTAACAATGTTTAAAATTTAGCTGAGCTACTTCCAAAGGCCTACACTGAAGGACAATTTCTGTAGACTGGAATTCCCCTGGGAAAACCATGGGATGTAAAGGGTAGAGGAAACGCACAGAACCCTAGGATTAAACAAAACAAAAAAAAAGAGCAAGTCTCATTTCAGTGTTGGGCAAGCCACTAATGATTTCCACATGTCGGGAGGCACAGATGCACTTTCTTTCTGACCACAATGTCAAAGTCGTAACTGATTGTGAAACCCACCAAAATAAGACCATCCCTCTTAATCAGTGTGCGCCTCATGTCCCAAGACAGGGCCTGTTCTCTGAATTTTGGAGACTGTGGAGAATGCAGCTCACTTCAGGAAACCACTGGTCCCTGGGACAGGGCTACTCACCAGTTCCAATGGATAAGCCACTGCTATTGGAGCGGATGGTCTTAGAATTCAAGACTTTCTCTGAGGGGAAAAAAAAGTTCAATAGATAAGTACTATACACAGAAAAAAACAGCATAAGTGAGAAAATAGTCACAGAAGACAATATAGGAAATAAATGTTACCTCTGACTCTTAGAAATCAGGAACCTGGTGATACAGTGGGTTAAGTGCTGGGCTGCTAACCAGTCAGTGGGCTCCAACCTACCCATTGTTTCATGGGGGGAAATGGGGTGGTCCGCGTGTGTAAAAAACTGCAGCCTTGATCCCTTCAGGACCAGTACCTGAGAGTGGCAATACCGGGAAGTTGGAGAGAGGGTGAGGGGTGGAAAGGGGGAACCGATGACAAGGATCTACATATAACCTCCTTGCTGGGGGATGGACAATAAAAAAGTGGGTGAAGAGAGACGGACAGTGTAAGATATGACAAAATAATAATTTGTAAATTATCAAGGGTTCATGGGGGGGGGGATGAGGAGCTGATACCAAGGGCTCAAGTAGAAAGCAAATGTTTTGAGAATGATGATGGTAACAAATGTGCAGGTGTGCTTGACACAATGGATATATGTATGGACTGTGATAAGATTTGCATGAGCCCCCAATAAAATGATAAAAAAAAATAGGAACTGCAGCCTCAGAACCCTCCAGAGCAGTTCTACTCGGTTTTACAGGATGACTATATGGCAGGATTCAGCCTGACAGTAGTGGGCTTGCTCTGGTTTAAGAAGTTAGCATCATTGTCCAAGGATCACTGGCGACTCAAACTATATTCACTATCTAAAACACACATTTTTTATGGTGGCTGTTCATGGAAATCGCCTGGGAAGTGTCTCACTCTGCAGCCTCAGATTAAATTGATCAGAGGTTAGGTCTAAGCAGTGGGGTTTTAAAAAAACTCTCCAAGGAATTCTAATGCACAACCAAGGTTGAAGACCACTGACCTAAAAAAGAATGGATTTACAAACCCTTACAGAGTTCATAATATGTTCACAACAAGGACATTTTTATGAAGTCTTTATGATTTCAATTTTCTTTTTAAAAGGTGTTATTAGATGTTTTTAATAAAAGTGTGAAAGCAGACAGATAAATTAGGGGATGATAAGATACAATAAAGGTGGGTAGAGCTCAGGGTTATCATGCTGGAGAATGGTCAAGAGATGGCAGATAACTCTTCTGGAAATGACCATGTTGTTTTCTTTAAACTAGGTGTGGCAACCCTGAGCATCACCAGACTTACAGAAACAGTCTCTTTTCTTTAGGACACTCTGTTTCCAAGGATATGACCACCAGTACCTTGGGTGTGGGTCTATCCTCTGTGAAAGCCACCCCAATCCCATAGATAGCAAATCCTTACCAACAATGAGAATGGTGTGCCAGCCATGGCAAGACAGGTCTGGGACGTGATGGAGAGACCCAAAAATCGGCCGAGGCCACGAGGTACAGATATCAGAGCCATGCGGTCTCTCTGTGGGCGTCATTGCCAGACGGCCATTGCCACCATTGCCCCAGGCAAAAATGTGATTATCTAGAAAACAGAAGCAAAACATCTGGTAGTTTAAGAGGACAATGGCACCATACGTCCTTGTGGGCCATATCTCTGTGCCCCAAAGCCAGGGAAACTCATTACATACTGAACAAGGGAACACCTACATATTCTACCAGTCAGGAACTCCCGGTCCTTCCTGGGTCACCATCCGTCCTTCCCTCTACTTACAAGCCATTCTTGGCCCCTTCTTCCACAAACATTTACTAGACATCTACTTCATGACAGGCACTAGTCACGGTGGTACTGGGGCTAGAGCAGCAAACAAAACAAAGTCCCTGCCCTTAGGGAACTGACATTCTAGGGAAGGAAACGGAATACAGAAATAAATAAATAGCTATTCACTCAGGTGGAGATGGTGCTACAAAGAAAGCTCTCCAGGGAGAGGAAAGGCTAAGTCCAAATCCCATGCATTCATCATGAGTCTCAGGAATAAGGAGGCCTCTGCAGATGGAGAGAAGGGAGTGGTGGCAGTAGTAGAAGAGATCAGGAGATGGCTGAATCCTCGTATACAGGCCCATGCAGGCCACGGTCATGGTTTTGGTCTTGAGGGTTCAGATAGGAAACCATCAGAGGTTTTGCAGAGTCCCTATTTAAAAGGCTCCCTCAGGCTGCCAAGTCAAGAAAGAGCCAAAGGCAGGGGGAACAAAGGTGGAATCAGAGGGACCAGTTGAGGCAAACACGGCAGTAGTTAAGGGGACCTCAATCAGCTGTTGTGATGAAGATAGTGAAAAGTGCTTGGACATAATCCCAAGATAACCAACAGGATTTGCTGTTGGACAGAAAGGGGAGTGTAGGATGGAGTGCTATTGACTGAGATGGGAAGGCCATAGGAGAAACGAGTGTGGGCAGAAAACCACAAGCCGATTTTGGATATACTGTTAGTTTGAAAGGCCTCTAACTTCTATCTAAACAGGACATGTTAGAATGACAAAGGGGTGCTATTAACAATTAAGCCAAGTAACAAGCATGAATCAGGACTAACTGGCGTAAACTAAGCAATGACAGTCTCCTACCTTTAGACAGCCAAATCATGGAGTTGTTTTATAAGTGAGTCTAGAGGTCAGGGGAGGAGAGCAGTGGTGCTGCAAACTGTCCAGAGAGGATTTAAGGAAGGGATCACTTAGGGGAGTGGCTCTCAACTGCAGGTTGCGACCCCTTTTGGAGTGGTCAAATGACCCTTTCACAGGGGTTGCCTGATTCCTAACAGTAGCAAAATGACAGTGATAGAGTAGCAATGAAAATAATTTTATGGGCATTTTTTCCTCATGTCACCATGACATGAGGAACTGCATGAAAGGGCTGCGGCATTAGGAAGGTTGAGAACCACTGATTTAAGGGGTGACATTAGAGAGTGGAGCTAGGGGTACTCCTAAACCCACAGGGGCTGGATGGTGCTCTCATGAGTGGAGACACACTGCCAGTGGTGGCTGTCAGTTCTGACTCGGCGTGACCCCTCGTCCAACAGAAGGCCCCACTGCCTGGTCCTGTGCCATCCTCACTCGTGCTGCCATTTCAGCCTAGTGCTGCAGTCACTGTGTCAATCCAGCTCCCTGAACGGCTTCAGCTTCCTCTTTTTCTCTGCCCCGCTGCTTGACCAAGCACAATGTCCTTCCTAACAACACAGTCAAAGGACAGGGGCAGCCTCATTTCTAAGGAGCACCCTAGCCGTGCTTCCTCCGAGGCAGACCTGTCTGTGCTCTGGCCGTGCATGGTGCTTTCAGTAGTTTTACCAGCACTCAATTCAAATGCATGGATTTCCACCAGCCTTTCTTATTCATCTCACAACATATGAGGTGACTGAAGATACCACGGCTTGGGTCGGCTGCACCTTAGCTCTCAAAGTGACAGCTTTATTTCTGAACACTTTAAAAAGGTCGTTGTGAAACCGATGTGTCCAGTGCAGAACTGCCTGTTCCAGTCTGTTTATGCACATGCACATACAAATAGACTGGGGCTTCCTGAGACTCATCCCTATTCGTGAGCACTCAGTTTATGCTCGCTGCAGGCAGGCAGGAGATGGTTCTGAGGAGTGCAGGAACACACAGGAGGCAATATGCCCCGTCTCTGAATGACATACTCTGAGGTTTCTCTCAAAAGCACAGGGGTTATGTGTAAGAAACATTACTGCTTAGAGGGCCTGTCAGAAGACCTACCACACTAAATGGAAAGGCAGTGACACCCTGACCCTGTCTTTCTAGGTACTGCTTCACTTGGTCTAGTCTGTCCTGAATCATTTGCTTTTTTCAGCTCCTTGTTTGGGGGCTTGCAGTGAGGGCTAGAATGCAACTCTGGAAGCTTGTTCACCACTTCTATCTGGGAGCAGTGCAGGTATCTGACACTATCTAGGGCACCCTCACGTGTACACAGCAGGAGCACAGCAGACAGACATCTGAGTGTGGGCATAAACCAAATTAAGAAAAGCAAAGCTGAAAGGAGCCAGATAACAAGATGCAAGGAGATTTATTGTTTAACAACCACAAGAAAAAATGGCTACTCCAAACCAAAGCCTTCTGGAGAGGCAAGAAGAGAGAAAAGAGGTGAGTGATAAAAGCAGAAGAGAGAGAAGAAAGCACAGGCCAGCACAAGAGGCAGCAGAACTGAGAGGTGGAGGCAGGCCTAGGATGGGCGCTAGACGAAGGGACAATTGTGAGGGGGAGAGAAGAAAACCCAGCAGACAAATGAGAAACTGGAAAGATCCGGCCCTTCAAGCCTCCACCGCCCTCAGGCCAGCCCTGTAGTGCAACCAAGTATGATCCTTCCAGGCTCAGTTCACATTTACGGAGGCAAATTTGGTGCTGGGGAAAGGTATATACACGTTATATCTACCAATTCTTGAAGCATAAATGTTAAAGTTAATATTTAAAAAGTAGAGACTCAATGTTAACTTAGTCGTTATCTGACTCTAAAAGAGTACATGATGATGTGGCTCTACAACACACCCACCACCTTTTCCTTTGGGGGGACGAGCGGGGCTCATAGACTCACCATCAGTGGCAGCAATGGTAAACTCATCGCCGCAGGAGACCCTGATCACTTGCTTCCCACCTAAGGGTCCCCCCAACAGGTTAATTCCTAGACGCTTCTTATAATTCCCAACTCCCAGCTGCCCACACTTGTTGCTGCCGAAGGTTAGCAGCCGGCCTCGTTCTGTGGGAGAAGCAGAAACAGGCATAAGATGGTCAAGAGATGGAAAACACAGCCAACACAGAGTTGTAAAAACTCAGCTCTGATTGCTGAGCGTGCAAACATAAAACTAGCCAGCTTACCCTGAACCAAATAAGGACCAATTGGAGCCAACACCCATGGGTGATGAGTTGATTAGGATTCCAAGTGGGCTAACGGACCCAACAAGAGGCTTAACATTGTCATCTCTATTTCATTTCACTTTAGAAAAGTGCTCTTAGAGCACTTACAGACAGTTCTAATTCTGGAATTATAGTTGTAATAGTCTCATTAAGGGTATATTTATTATGCACTTACAAAGTTATCAACAAAACATACTTGAATACCTCTTTTATTAATGAGCTAATAATACTGGATGCTAGGGGAAAACTGGGAAAATATACGAAGGGGCTTTACACAGTTCATGGAAATGGAATTCCAGTTTCCCATGAACTACTTCTGGAAGGTCCCTCATGTACACAGTTGTCTGTTCCCATAAAGATGTACAGTCTCAAAAACCCTATGTATAAGGTCACGATGAGTCAGAATCGACTGGCTAGCAATGGGGCTGGTTTGAGTCATACACATAAAAGAAAAGACTGGGCTACCTTAGGGCACGTGCACATGGCTGTAAATCAACTCACCATCAATAGCAGCTGTGTGAGTCTTGCCTGGAGCAATGGTTCTGATCTTATAAAAGGACAACTGTTTGGCCAAGGTAAAGGAGGTTGTGTAGGGAACTTCATGGTATGCCTGTTAACAAGGCAAAACACACCAAAAATTATGTAAAATATGGAGGTGTAATAGAGCTGGGAAAGGGTCGAGGTGAAATAGAACAGATTTGCACAACTGGTAACCAGGGGGTTAAGTGGCATATAAAGTGGAACTTTCTGGCAATAAAAGCTCTAGATTCTGAATTAGGACATGCAAATCATGAACACAGCATCCCAGAAGGTATTTATGTCAGGACAGACGCACTGACATTTGTCTTAGTTATGTACTCTGTATACCTAACAAAGACGTACTGAGCATTCCCTCCAGCCCACAAAGCAGTCAGTGAACGTGACCTAATTTCATCTACAGGGCAGTGTTCCTGAACTTGCTGAGACCCATGCTGCCTTTAGGGAAGCACAAAAAGCCCATCCTCAAACCCAACGTTATGACAAAACACAAATCAAGAAACATTAATTTGGAATATGTCTTTTTTAAACTACAGACACCCTCCCCAGTCTTTACACTGAATTCACACTCAAGTCTCCCAACTGAGAACCACTATGTCCGAGATTGCTTAAAAGCTTTTATTTTTTTCATCGAGTCAGGAGACTGGCCTTTTACTTGATTTTTTAAAAACAGCAAAAGGGAATAAGACGTATGTATTATCACTGGTGAATTTCATGCAAGTCTTTGAACTGGTTCGTTTCTATAGGACCACAGGCAATTCTTATGTGTACATTTTAAAAATAGAGATTCTGATTTACTGTATTTAGATTTGAATTGAAAAATCGCAGCAAGAGGACAAATTGAAACTGGTTCGAAACCCTGATTTCATGACATCCTTCAAAGGGAAGAAAAAGAATTTTATTTAAGAAACCTGCACAGGGTCAGTGTTTTGAGAGAGAAAAAAAAAATCTTCAAGGCAGTGATGCACAGCAGTAGGCTTCTTTCCGTAACACGGCCTTGTGCCTACTTCAATAAGGCAGACCAGATCACTGTTTTCTAACATTTACTGAGCTCTACCTAGCATACTGTAATACCGTATAGCCTGATAAAATTTGCTGTAAAACCACCACTTATGTCAAGATAAAGACCACTCTCGTCAAGACATAAGGATACCTCCCACCTTGTCTGTTACACCTATCCTCCTCTCCCCAGAGATTACTGTCATCCTGGTTTCTGCCATCAGTTCATTCTGCCTGTTCTTAAACTTCATGTCAATGTACACTCTGATGGCTGCCTTCTTTTGCTGAACATAATATCTGTGAGATTATGAATTATTCGTTATTCAAATTAAATGACTGTCAGCCAATACTAGCATTCGATAACACTGTGGCCAGGGCACCAGAGGGTATGTATGCTCACTTCATGGTTGATGATCCCGGACATACACTGATTCAGGCCCAGTTTGTTGAACTCATTGAGCCCACAGGCCAGCACTTTGCCTGACTGGGTCAGCAGAAATGTCCCATCACAGCCACACTGGACTGAGACAATAATCAAAGCCTTGGGAACTTCTACCTGCAAGGTAAAACCAAAACAAACAAACAAACAAACAAACAAACAGGGAAAACAACTCTTAAGAATACGCAGCTTGAATTAGGGAAAGGAAAACAAAAGACCACCTCAAATACTTTCAACAGGGCATGGTACCTTCAGTAGATCACAGAGACAGAGAAGTAAGGGTCACACTATTCATTTCTGATTTGCCCAGCAACTCAGAAGCTATTATTTTCAACCAAGAGCTCATGTTTTAAAACGTAAAGTCAGAGAAGGCAGTCCCAGCTGACTCAATGGATAGCCCCTGCTGAAAGTCTATTGCAGTCACAGATCTTACTTTGGGAGACTTCTCAAAGCAGTTGGGAAAGAGGCAGCTAATTAACTGCCGATCTTGTCTCCTGAGATCAAAGGCTCCACAGCAGCTATCACGACTCAGTAACTCTGTGGGGCCCCCTTCTGGCCACTTTGTGAGCTGACAGCACTGAGGCAGCAGCTCCTCTGCAGGCAATTAGCAGGACTGGATGGAGGGTGGTGGGAGGAGACAAATGTGGGAAACTAACACTGAGGAAAATATGAGGAGGACTATATTCCCCAATCTAACTGAGGGAATCTGGAAAGCTAGTGTTCCATGGTAGGAAAGCCTCCACTTTGGTTAAGTTAAAGTCCAAGTACATTATCCTGCTTTAAATATCGTTCCCACAGATCCTACCCTAACAGCTATGCTATGCGGCCTTAAAGTAAGCACATGGTTGATTTTTATCTCCCTACAGAAACAGACATCCTGTTGCTATCTCTGCGGCCGTGTACCCCTCGTACCTCCCCAATGCAAGTATTAGGTTTCCTCACCTGTGAGCTCAGGGACCTTACCTAGATGCCACCCACCTGGACATATGTAACAACTGGATAGACATGTCTTATGACTACTTATAAATGTCCCAAGATCGTAAAGCAGCTCTCTTCTCCCAACTCCATGGGGCTGAGCATGCTACCATAAAATGTGTCTGACTCTTTTATTTTACTCTCTCTTCTATCTTTCCTATTCTCTATGACTTTACTATAATCTTTTTATATTTAACCGTACAATTGCACCTACTGGCCCTTCGGTTATTAGAAGCTGGTTTCCTTTAACAGCTGGCGCCCAACATGGGGCATGAACCCACGACCCTGGATTAAGAGTCCCATACTCTACTGACTGAGCGAGGAGGAAAAGATAGTTATCTGCGAAATATGACAATGGAAAGGCTTAGATCCTATTGAAGGTAACCCTACCCTCCACATATATGTAGTTTCGTGTTTGAAATGTAGGTGAAAATTGCTTATGTAAATGATATAGATCAGGTGTCAAACTTAATTAAAATGCGGGCTATTTGGTGCAACAGACAAAATTCACGCAGGCACAATACATTTACAAATTTTGTTAAATTTATATTTTGAAGTGAGGATTCAGGAATGTGGATAGGATATTTAAAACACTAATTCTTTTATATAAACATTTGTTTTAGTAAAAAAAGAGAAATATTTAATGTATTTATAAAACTAAAATTCTTTCTTTTATACAAAACTTGCCAGCGCTGGTTTCCTCCTACTAGTTTTCACTTATCTCTTATATTGTAATTGGAAAATATAACAAAGTAACTGATAAAAAACACAAAATGTTGGACTGCTGACAAATGTGATGCACAATCATAATGACTTCCCTCTAAAAATGTTAACTAGCGCAGCCGTTAGGTATGATTCATAACAGCACAACCCAGAGTGCTCTAACCTTTTTGCTATTGGGATCTGTTTACATGACATGACACTGAGTGTGGCAGACATATCGCTTCCAAATGTCGCCGGCGTTTATACATGTCCACAGGCCCCCAGGAAAGGCCCTGGGCCACGTGTATACTCGTCTTCAGTAGCTAAAGGGTTACCAAGGGAATATTGTGTGTACGTTATTGCCTCGATCTCCCCTAAGCACTATTTTCTTCATAACAATTTTTTCTTTTATTTCAGAGCAGGGGTGCCGCATGTGGCCCTCGGGCCACCAGTTTGACACCCTTGATATCGATGATTACCCTCCCCTCTATGGGAAAGCCTACACTCTCAAGTGGGTGTGAGGCAGAAGAGGTGACTGCTCTTCTCTCAGTGGGCTCAGCATCCATGTTACCCTTTCATCCTGTGTGACTTTTAAGCACAGCTACTTCATTCTGCGTTCAACTGAGGCAGCAGCATGGGGTACAGCTGCGTGGGTTAAGAGAGTATACTGCTTTCCAACGTGCTCTTAAAAGAATTTCTCATCAGCTACTGGTTACCTTTTCTGCAGCACAGGCTACTTCAGTGCTTGTCCCTGAATAAGATGTGACTACAGTACCGCCGTGGCTATATCCTTTTTCTATAGATGTTCTATGATTTAGCCGTAGGTTATGATCATATATCATAAACCAGGAAACCTGAATTGCCAGTCTCACAGACAGGAAATATTTCAGAAGTAAATATTTGATACGAGGATTCAGGGAAAGAGGACCAGATTACTCAGGTGACCTGAATGGTGCTGCTTCTGATTTTACCTTCTGTGGTGTGTAATAATCCTCTTCTGAATCCAAACCCAGTCGCCCTGGGACATACAGAAGAAAGATAATCATTATAATAAGGGCCTTCCTCCCACTGAAACTGTTTTTAAGCGTCTCTTAACCTCCTTGGCGGTAATCCCGAGAGTGGCTCGGAATAAACGTTAACTGTCAGAAGCGGTAACCCAGAGCCACACTCAGGATTACACTGCAGAGAAGTCCCTTAACAAAATTACGGACATAATTAGACCGCCAGGAGGGTTAATTTGCACTCTTTGAGTAGAGGGTGCCCGCTGTGTTTGGATGCATACCAGCTGGAAGTCAGGGTGAACCTGGGAGTGAGGGACAGAGACAAGGCTGCACCTACCATACTCGCCGCAGCCCCAAGAATAGACTTCCTTGTTTCTTGTCAAGACCACTACGTGGTTATCTCCACAGGAGACCTGCTCCACTGGATTAGTGAGGAAGCAGCTCAGCTGCATAGGTTCTAGCACCTCAGGTCCAGCAACCTTGTCCACCCCCATGCAGCCATAATAATCTGATCCAAAGGCATAAAGCTGGCCTTCGTCTGCAAAGGAAAGAAAAGAGAACCCATCAAAGGACTGGTTGCTTCTGTCCACTCAGAAAGCCGGGCAGAGCTGGAACAAGGCCTCCCTCACACGAGAAGACTGCATCCAGGAACCCTAAGGGCAGACTGCAACTCGGAAGCTGATGATATCTAGGGAGCCTGGGCTACTATCTCAGTAACAGGCTTTTTTGTTTTGTGTTTTGAAACTGTAGTAGCATTCTATCAAATGGCTTCCATGTTTACTAGGGCTTTTCTCTGTTTTATAGATACACACACACAAAGTAAGGAATCATACAGCAAGTATTGACAAGAAGGTTCAATCTAGATTTTGGATTGATTCTGGATTTTGTGTCATTCACAGCCTGACTAGGCAGTGAGATTCTGATAAGTTCCTCATATTTCCTGATTCTGCCTCATCTCTGTTACCCACTGGCCTTCTCCTTGCTCGTAACTCCCTACAACTCCAGCTGATATTAATATGTACATCAATGTCTTTTGGTTCTATGAATGTTGCCTCTTTTGTAAAACCCCAACCGAAGCTGCCCTGCACTGTACACAGCATCCCACCTCTGATGAACCTCCTGCTTACCAGTCACACAGACAGTGAAGTCATCCCCACAGGACACCTGGTGGATAGCTTTGCCTTGCAACTTCTCCACATGCTTCGGCTGTCGATAGGAGGCCTTGTCTCCATGGCCCAGCTGACCGTGGAGTTTGGTGCCCCCTTGCATGTTCTGTGAAATGCAAGTATCATAGGAAGCTTTACCTTAAATCTTTCACGTAAAACCTAATATTTAAGATAACTCCTCATGGAGAAAAGCAATACAGGTGTCCCTACTGCCACAAACTAACATCTTCCTATGAAGCCCCTCTTATGCGGAAATTGGGCAAAGAGAAAAAAGCAACGAGTATTGATTTATATGAGGATTCTCAGACCCCATAAGAAACCTAGCCAATAAACCCTAAACTAATACCAGCATCTAGTGTTCACAGACACAGCTCAAAGCGATGGTGGCTAGCTGCTGAGTGCAGTTCTGGGGAAGGAGCTTGGCGGCGGCCTCTCTGCTGAGAAACACGGGCTGAATGCTAGGTATCTCTCCAGATTTCCTACAATCAGTGAAAATACGTACTAATGCAGGTCTTTGGTAAGAGTGAAGTAGTGTGAAATGAACTTTCAACAAGTGTAAAATCTTTAAAATGCAGAATTAAAAAAACAGCCTGAAGTTTAAAATTTTAGGAAAAAATGGGTAAGGGGATTAACCATTCGAGTGGTAGGTCGTATAAAATCCCTACCAACAGGTAAAGACAGTGATAAAAGTCTATCCAGATTGGTGTCTTTCAGTCCTCAAAGGACACAGTCCTAATTCTGTTTTCCTCCTTCCAGTCAAAGGTAAACTAGCTGTTTGACTCTGGGTCAAGGGAAAAAGACCTTTGTAGAGTCTCAAGGAATCGAGCCTCTAGGGAAACTCTTACTAGAAGTTTTAAATTTTGGCCAGTTTCCTTGAACCATGGAGATAGTGCACTAGAGCACTGAGAACTGTCCTAAAAGGCCGTCTCAACAATTTTGTAGAGGTAATGTTTTTCCATTCCACCCAAGCCCTCACCGAAATGTTTCTTAGGCATTCATTCAAATGTACTTCGGTAGCCCCTGTCAGGAGTTAGTTTTAAAGGATGAAGTTTTAGAAATAACAAGTCAACAGTCTATGTTCTTCCATTCAGTAATCAGGTAAGAAGTACCCACCCTGTCACACCCGGGTGACATAAAAGCAGTGCATAAAACAAGTACAGCTCAGAGCCCAGCCCCTCAAAAAGGTATCTGAAACCGCCTGGCACAAAGAGCTCTCTCAGAGAGGAGCGAGAAGAACCAACGGCCTCAGGAAAGGCCAGGCAGAGGAAAAAGCATGCGAAGGCCCTGCCAGAGTCAGAGGAGCCAAGAGAACCTGCCATCAGGGAAGCCAAAGCTAACGGGAGAGAGCGGTCAGCTATGTCAAACGCTGTGGAGGGCAGGCAAGGTCAAGACTGAAAACAATTTGTTTTGCTTCATCGATTTATGAGCCACTGAAAAACCCACTGCTGTTGAGTCTATTCCAATGCATGGCGACCTTATACAGCAGCGTGCAACTGCGCCATCCGGTTTCCAAGACTAGAAATCTTTATGATCTGCGGTTAGTACTCCAATGCTTAACCCTTGGTGCCACCGAGCCCTTATGCCTTTACTGGAGCCCAGTTCAATGAGAGGGTAGGAACAGAAGCTGCACTGTCGGTAAGTGGAGAGAGTAGCCGAGAAGGAAATGGACGGTGAGAACAGGGAGTGTCTCGAAGGTGAGAGCACATGGACTCCAGGGAAGAACAAGGCTGAGTACGGTTTCCTAAGTGAGAGGACTGAGTAAGTTTAAATGCAAATGAAAAGGAGTGAGCAAAGAGACAGATGAAGACAGGTTAACAAAGGAGAGGCTAAAATTGATCAAACAAGGCCTCTAAAAAGTCCTGGGGGCAAGGGACTGGTTTGTCCCAGACAGAAAACAAGAACAGACTGATGTGTATATGGGGCTTTCCACAAACTAGTACCACCTCGTAGGGAGTCCAAGGCTGCAAATCTGTCCCAAAGCAGACGGTCCTCTCTCCCAAAAAGACTGCTCTCTCCAGGAGCAACCAGTAGGTTCAAACTGCAGAACTCACTGTTAGCAGCCAAGTACTTTAATCCTTGTACCATGCTTTGCATATAGGCTGAGGTACAAAACTGAGGGAAAGTATTTTAATGGTGTCCATTTTGAATTGAGGAGAAGGCGAGGCCAAATGCATAAGTAAATGAAGAAGTAAGGGGGTGGTTGAATGGAATAGGTTTACAATGGTTGAGGAGTCTGGCAGAAAGTGGATTAGAGAAGCAATAGTGTTCTCTCTTGAACAAGGAAAACCTACAGACGTGTATACAGGCCCGAGACTGTCTCCTAGGAAAGGCCTGCTTGCAAGGTTGACCCTTGACTGGTGGCTGTCCCGTAGGGGAAAGATGTGGCAGTAGGCGTCTATTAAGATTCACAGCCTTGGAGACGAGACCCACAGGGGGCAGTTCTGCCCTGTCCATTAGGGTTGCTGGATATCAGAATCAACTTAACAGCAGCTGCTTTTAATTTTTCGGTTTTTTAAATATGAGCCAGCCACTAGGAATACACCAGTAACTCAAACAAACAAATCTCTGCTCTCCTAAGTGCTGACATTCCATTTCCTGAGACTACGACTCACAGCCATGTCCACCTGACCCGATGCTTGGCATTCTGGGCCTAAGAAACAATCTGGCTTGTCACTGGGATCCAAAGTACTTGCTCTCACTTACCACCCAGGTGTATAGCTCTTTCTCCACGGTGACCACGGCAAAGTGGGTGTTTCCAGCACACACCTGCCGGGCACTGCAGCCACTCTTGATGACGTCCAGTTTCTGGGGTGTGGACTTTCCACCTCCCCAAACATAGACTTCACTGGTTCTTGATGTCACCACAGCAATGGGCGCTTCAGTCACAGTGCTTGACCTGCCAACAACAGCCCACACAATGGCACAGTAAACATGAAAACCAAGTCAGAGAAAAATCCTTTCAGCCTGCTCCCGGAGAACTGCCAATAACGGCAGGAGAAAGCATGTTCCTTGGCAACTTGGTTCAACCCTCCACCATAGCATCATGGTAGGCATTGCAGTTTCTGCCTCAGGGCTTCAGCAAAGCTGGCCCAGATCAGATTCCAGTCTGATCCTTATCCCTACACTTTGCAACAGTCATGGTAATGATGTCTACTTTCGGATGAGAGTGAAATAAAGGATGGCCGCCTCCTTCACAGAAATGACTGGCATTACAACCGATATTGGTCCCTAAAGAGATGCCAAAGGCTTAAATAATGCATACACCTAAGAAAGCCCCCATGGGGGTAACTTAGGGTAGATGAATTTTTCTAAACGTCTGTCAAGCATTAATTACCTTGGTCTCTTTGTCGGTGCGTTAAGCAGTGTGACTCTTTCCTCCATTTCTCTACCAAGAGAAAAGCAGAGATCGTGAGTGAGACAACACATTCTGACACTGCACTGGCACCTCATTATACAGCTCACATATGTAATCATCCTATAAACCACATCCCTCCTATAAAACTACAATCCTTGTTGAGAAATAACTTGATCTATTTCAAAAGCTATGCTAGCTACCAGGTTTACATGCTGGGAACTGAGAGATTCATTAAATACAAGGGAGCCTGAAGTTTGGGGTCATTTGCGTTTTTCTTTCCCAAGAAACATTTCAGAGCTTCAAGACTCTTGGGGATATATGTATTTATTTAAGTACCAGCTGGATATATTGGAGCCCTAGTGGCACAGTGGATTAAGCAATGGACTGCTAATCGTGGGGTCAGTAGCTGAAACTTACCAGTTGCTCTGCAGGAAATAGATGAGGCAGTTGGTTCTGGTAGGATGTACAGTCTCAGAAACCATACCAAGCAGTTCTATCCTTTCCTACAGGGTCTCAACAGATTGGAATCAGCTAGATGACAACGGGTATCCTGGGGTGGACATTTCTATCTAGTCTTCCAGTGACCCCCAACATCTACATCTGAGCTCATTATCTTTCTTTCTGACTTACCTAGCTTAGTAACTGGTTCCTCCATCCTCCTAGTCAACTAGGTGTAAGCTCTCGGTATAGTCGTAAAACTTCTTCAATATACAAGGTCTACAGATTGTACCTTTACAGAACCTTCTACATTTACCCCTCCCATTCCAGTCTTACTACCTGAGTTCTGGTCAGTTACACTTCTAACCTGGACTGGAAGCGTCTTCTAACTGGCCCCCCACACCAAAGGCCTAATCCCCTTTAATCAGCCCTACACTTATTTAGCACTGCATTAATTAGTACCGTGCTCTTCCTTAACTACGCCTCTAATTCCATAACTGCCCTCACATATAAATCCACCGGCTCTTGGCTACCTGACTAAGCACAAATTCCTCATCTTGGCATTTAAGACTCCTTATTTACCTTTTTTAAGCCTTCCTTCCCTAGATTTATACCCATGTCTAGCCTAAGGTCCTCATTCAGGCAGAGTTGGTTATATGTGAACTCCTGGGGACATTGGTAATTTTGGAAAGCTCTGGAGACATTATTATAGAACCAGAAGTATTGTCAAATAGGACTTCGTGTTTCCAAAATATTTTCCACAATTTCCTATGTCTGTGTGTTTGCTTATGTAGTTTTCTGCCTGGGAAATTCTCTCTTATGCACTACTCATTATTGATATATTATCTCAAATCTCATGCCTTACAGAAAGCCTAATTCCTCCATGTGGATGGTAGCCCTCCTTCCTGTACACATCGTCTTTACCTCCCTTATCGAACCACCATATTCCTAATTCAATGATGTACACGACACCCTCTTCCTACCAACTATTAGACTCTAACTCCTGGACAATTAAATTCCCTAGAAAAGTGAATTTACACAGAGTAGGTACCCACACATTAACTAGGATTACTTTTAATTCCCATTCCACAAGTATTTGATGTTAACTCAGAAAGAAGTCTATCTTATCCTGGAAGATTGCCCCTGTGATATCCATCACTCCCCCCCCCCCCCTTTCCATCTTCAAAACTAAACAGAATGCCAGCTGATATTGAAATAAAGAAGGAGTAAGGGGAACGACAAATTTACCTAAAGACTTAAAAAGAATCTCTTGAATAATCTCACACACACACACAAGAGTAAACCTGGGGAAAATCAATGATGTTGGTGGATTGTGTCAACGTCATTATCTTGGCTGTGATAGTATATTATAGTTTTGCAAAATCACTGCTAGTGGGGTGGGGCCACTGATCAAAGTGCACAAAAAGTCTCCCTTTTTTATAACTGAATGCAAAACTATAATGATCTCAACATTTAAGTAAGAGATTCAGGCAGTGATTGCCCTATTGACAAATAAGCCAAATAAAAGCTCTGAGTATACTTCAACAGCCCCCGTGGGCAAGAATGTGGGAATGTGCATGAAAATAGAAATGTAAGATCCTGTGGTGTGACTAGAGTTCATTAAACATACCATATATACTCAAGTATAAGCCGACCCAAATATCAGCCAAGGCACCTAATTTTACCACAAAAAATACATTTAAAAATGCTGAAAAACTCGGTTTATACATGAGTATAAAGGTAATTCTCAGCCCTGGCTAGAGAAGTGCCAGAAAGGAGGACTTCAATATCACAAGAAGGTAAAAGTATGCTGCAAATAACGAAGTTGATGGAATTCCGCATGCAGGTCTAAGGCAGGCATGAGAAAGAGCGTCTTTGGAGGCTGATTGTTACCAGGCAACAGCAAGTGCCCAGCCGCAGTGTGACAGGATGACAGCTGAGTGGTGCTGAAGACGGGGAGCCCAGCAAAACTGCACCAGAATGAAACGCACACTAAGGAATTTAAGGAGGATAAAGATGACCTCTCCCTTCAAGTTGAGGTTTGAAGTCTCCTCCATAAAAGCATAAAGAACAATCTTCCCACTTCTGGGCCGTGAGATGGACTGACGCTTATAAAGTCAACCCAGTCTGACTCTGAGAAATGGGCCACAGGGCTCTGAAGGCTACTCCAACTCCAATCTATCACCTACACAAATGCACTACAAACAATGAAGTCCAAACCACCCCCCCAAAATAATAAAGTCCAACCCACATTCCCAAGCCTACCCCAACAATTATTAAGCTCCCTTTAGCCTGACCACTTTATATATTTATCCCCTTTCGTTCTCACCTACCTCATCTTATAAGAGAAAAGGAGACATTAACTAACTTGACCAAGAGATTGAGAGAACTCAGATGCAGACCAGAGGGTGTCTGAACCCAGAGTCGTCTCTCTTAATCACTACACTGGAATGCTATGTGTAGATGAAAATGCAGAGATGGAGCACAAGGCTCTTGGGTCTCACCACAGGCTTAGGAGTGAAATGAAAGCAGAGATGCTGGCAAAAATAACACTAGGGCAGCCACACCAGGAACCACCACCCTTTCCGGCAGCACTTGGCTCAGGTCTCTCATGGTCAATGATCTTTTACCTCCTGCGTTTCCTGAGAAGGGGGCGATCTAAGAGTTCATCTGCAGTGGGTCTCTGCTCAGGATCCTAAAAAGTAAAAATGGGGTTAGTTTTCGTTTAAGGGGAAGTGCACTGTAGAGTCTAAAAGAGGCATTTTATTTCCCTTGTAGAGGCTGTAGGTAAGTTAGCCAAAGACTATTATTCTCATGTTTTAAAGACAGCACTTCTTTATGATATATTTCATGTTGATCATCTCATTATCACCAACACTTGTACATGGATAGGGTGTTTCTCATATACCTTCCTTATTTTGGTCAGTTAGACAGTGGCTTTCAGAAATGTAGACTTCTGGGCTTCATTCACTGAAAGTATGATCCACTTGATCTGGGGTAGAGCCCAGAAATCTGCATTTTTAACCTGTACACTGCATTCCCATCCCCTGGTGATTCTGCTGCCTGTGCTTTACGGCCAGACTTGGAATCATACTGACTCTGCACAGCACGGTGGCTGTGAGACAGCAGAGCTACATATATCTTACACATGCCCCCACGCCCCGCCTTCAAGTCCATTCCAATCCATAGCGGCCCTATAGGGCAGAGGAGAACCGCTTCTCTGGGTCTTGAGGGGAGGAGATAGCCCGATCTTTCTCCTTCAGAGAGGACAGTGGAGTCAAATTACTGCCCTTGCAAGCAGCTGCCCAACACAGAATCCACTACACCACCAGGGTTCTTTTTTTATACACATTAGGAAATCTGAGTGTAATTTTATAAAATGATAAAAACCTGTGAGTCTCATTTTATAAAATCAAGTTACAGAAATGTACAGTGATAAATATGGTGCACAATTTAGATGGCAAAACATTTCACAAATTATTTTTTTAATAAACCATTTTATTGGGGGCTTGCACAGCTCTTATAATAATCCATACACCAATAGTATCAAGCACATTTGTACATATGTTGCCACCATCATTTCCAAAACATTTTCTTTCTACTTGAGATCTTGGTATCACCTCCTCTTTTCCCCCTCCTTTCCCTACCCTCGTGAACCCTTGATAATTTATAAATTATTTTTATTTTCATATTTTACGCTGTTTGCTGTCTCCCTTCACCCACGTTTCTGCTGTTTGTCCCCCCGAGGGTGTGCGTGTATTGTACGTTGATCACTGTGATTGGCTCACCCTTTTTCCCTTCACAAATTAATAATTAAATCATTGTGAATTAACCATGCCTATTCCGGGGATACAGCCAGAAACACATCCTTCCCTGGGAAGCTGATGTGGTTTTTTGTAGGTTCATCTATGTTATGGCCTACACAACGAGGAAAGAAGAACACTAATCTGAAGTCAATGAAGAAATCTCACCTACCTGGTCAAGGCATGAGTGGACCATTTGGATCAGTTCCAAAGAATACTGGCTAGAATCAACTTCCATGGCCCGGATTCCTTGTACAATCTTCACACACAGGTTGAGCGGATTCTAAAAGAAAATGCTGACTGCATTAGTTCCAGTTACAGAAAGGTGATTTTACCATCTTTCAGTAGGGGTTCTGAAACGCTAGTGGACCTCTGTTTTAAGGGGCACCAGTTCTGTATGGTTCTTTCATGACTACTAGCAGGTCAGGGATGCACTGCTGCCATGAGATGGAAGGCTGGCTAACATGTAGTGAGAACTATGACTGTGTGGCACACAGCACAAGGCTTGGAGCACATGATGTAATGACCCTTCAACTGAACCCCCAGAAAAAAGAAGGCAAGATTGGTTGTGCTTCTTGGTTTCAAGTATCTCTCTTGACTCTTACTAATGCAATAGGTAAGCCGGGAAATACTAATGATAATGTTGATAATGATAGTAATAATGCCACACTTTTAGGCACCAAGCAGGCAGGCTTCATACATGATCCTTTGTAATCCTTATAAAACACCTTGCAAGGAGGTTATCATCATCACTAATTGGTATATGAATTAAAAGAGGCCCATTTTCTTTCTACTATGTTATTTAGGGAAATTAGATAATATACTAGAATAAGTGTCAGGAGTCAGGAAAATAAGGTGGCTTCATGAAAGGCAAATGACTTGATCTGACATTTTCTCAGAGCATCTCTGTGAGGGCCATACGTAGTATTTCTATTTTATAGGTAACAAAATAGAAGATGAAACAAAAGGGCCTTGCCTAAGCTCTCACACCTGGTTTATAGGGGAGACTGGTTGTGAATCCACTCCTGTTACTTACAGAGTGGTTCATTCCACCCATAGCTGCAGCATCACCTGGAAGCTCGTTAGAAATGCAGGCTACTGGGCCCCACCCAAAACCTACTGAAAGAAAACCTGCACTTTTAAAAAATTGATCCTTTTATTGGGGCTCCTACAGATATCACAATTCATAAATCAATTACATCAAGCCAATTTGTACCGATGTTGGCATCATCATTTTCAAAACATTTTCAGAAGTTAATTTTGAACACTGCTTTTTCCATTTGCTGGCTTGGCGGTCTTATGAAGTTACTTAACTCTACTGTAAAGTATTTTATAGCTTTTAAAATAATTTTCTAATATTATCTTACATAATTCTTACAAGCAGCCATCGCATAAGGTAAACAGCGTTGATATTATCTCCATATTCAAAAAGTCACCCCCTTCCCTTCTAGTGAGTAGCAGGATATGAGGAGCATGGTACTATGGTTAGATAGGCTTCTATTTGAATTCTAATGAGAAAATCTGCACTCTTAACAAAAGCCCAGGTGAGTCTTCTGTCACCCCATTAAAGTTAGAGAAGCACTGCTTTAAATTAGTTATTTACTAAACAACCAAACGTACAGGAATTTGTCTATAAATCATGGCATCTTGAAGAAGAGATACAAGGTGTAATTTTATATTGAAAAGATCAAAATACTTCAATAAGTCTTTCATGAACTTGCCTTAGTTTTTAAAAAAGTGATGCATTTTGAAACTGACTGTGCTAGCAATTGTACAATACTGCTTGATGTGATTGAACTGTGGAATGCTCTATCTATAAGAGCTCCCAATAAATGATTTAAAAAAGCTAAAAACCCCCAAAAGTGATATAATTGAAGCATAAGAAGTGAATGGCATCTCCAGGGGACAGCATCACATAGTGGATCCTAGAGCCAGTTCAAGCACAGTGCTCAGACGAGGGTAACTCTAATGGAGTCCTCAAGTTGGAAAGAAGTCTGGTTCACAGCAGTCTAATGTACTACAAACCCAGTGACTGACTCCTGGTTATTTTTGCCTACTTGTCGTTAAAAGAAGCCAAAGCTAAGGATAAACGATGTTGACTCTCAATGACAAGGACAAAGCGGGGATAATACACCAACTTACTGTTGCATCAAATGTCCTCTTTAGCGTAAGCAATTCAAAAATGACGCAGCCCACTGCCCAGATATCAGACTTGAAGTTATATTTGACTCCTTGGCAGAGCTCTGGAGACATATAGTATGGAGTTCCCACAAGCTGAACAACAAAGAAACAATCAAAGAATAACTTCTCTTCTGAGACAACTGTATTAAACATTCCAGCAGCAAAAATAAATTTCCTAGGACCTAGTAAGTAACCCCTAGCTGTGCTATGCCAGCGTAGAAGTGCTTAGCTGAGGCTGAAAATCTTTGTGTCGGTAAAATCTTCATGGCTCCTGAGTTCACACTGCCTTTACTTTTAAGGTTAGCAGACAAGCGGCTCACCCGCTGTGCCACCATTTATCAGCAGACCCCCAAATGATTCTTAGGAGATACCACTAAGGGGAGAAATTTTATTCCTACCAAATCTCTCGGGCCACTTACATCAGTATAATCTCTGTGGTAATTTCAGAGGGTCCATATCTCCGGTTCCCAGAATTCAGAGGCACTCAAGCCCACTACAGATATTACAAGGACAGAGATTTACAGTGAAAGGTGTGGGGACTACAATGCTACGGCCTGCCTGGTTTTCCTAGGTCTTGCATTTTTTTCTGCCTTTGACAGGGTGCAGTCATTGCTCTCTATTTCATGAAAAATATTTGTGTTTCCGGCCTTACACAGGTTCCAGCTGGCCCAGGCATTATTGTAGTGGCAGTAGGGAATGACGACTGAAAAGAAGGGACACACATTTTTAACTAAAATGCACACTGCAATACAGCTTTTGAAACGGCTCAATTTGAAAGTGGTATCCTCACAGAGCCAGGGAAGCTTTTATGACTCCAGGAACAGGCTTGGGCATTAATGTCTTGGAGGGAAGTCAAGCCTTTCCCAAGATGTGAGACACCATGTGTCTCAGCAGCTCTAGAAAAACTGACGGCACCTTTAACCAGCAAAGGAGATATTTTCAGATGGCGTACATGGCATTTATTATTTTCCCTATCGTTCCTTTCTAGTACTGAACTGGCTTTAATAACAGTCAAGTCTTGCTTGAGCGATTGTTCTTGATGAGAAAAGCCCATACAAGGACACGATTGCTTCTTGAGCAGCTCAATTTAGCCAACATCATCCAAACAGACCAAGCAAGTTCTTGAAACAGAGACTCCCAATCCTGGTTCATTAGCATCCTTAGATGTCTCTAAATTGCTTGCAGACCTATCTTGACATTATCAAAACACATCATCAGAGCAGATTAGTTTTTATTAACTTACATCTTCTAGTTCTTTTAAGGATAAAACACTGTGAAGCCAGAAGAGCAGTAATTAGGTTTTGCAGTTCCTAAAAAGAGGCGATCACTGTCCTCATGAGCACTGTATACCTACCTCTACTCTGTCTTTCTCAAGACTGGTTGAGAAGGGAGGCCTACACTTCAGCTTGTGTTAGATACGAAAGACTGTTCTCGAGACATCAGGCGTTGTCACACAGGACTTCCTCTCAGAATCAGAAACATGCAAACAGAACACACCCAGAGTTGCCTGATGCTTTGAGTTCAAATCTTAAGGGACATACCGAGATCTACGAGAACTGCACTGGACAGGGAAACAGAAACCCACTCCGGTGCTCTTATCAAGGTTTTTAGTCAGAGTTGTCACGTGGACACCACTAGGCGCCCAGACAAAAACGGCCACTGCAGACTATGGAGAACCTGCAAGAATACTGAGGAAAGTGTGGAGGATTTGGGGGGCATAGTTATACTCCACGGTAATGAAAAGGAACAGGGCAGAAAGGAAAATGAAGAGCAACACACACTCACCGTCTCAGCCATAGAATACTCAGAATTCAGTTTCTTTGCTAGGCCATAATCTCCTAGTTTTATCAGGTTTGCCTTGGTCAGAAAAATATTTAATGTCTTTATATCTCTGAAAAAGAGGTGCTGCATATTAAACTCATATAATCAACTGTTTGATCTCACCCCAAACCCCATGCAGGTTTCAGACAGAAGAACACTGAATGGGCCACCACGGCTCAGCTTCTCCAAGGGATCGTCAGCATGGTGGTCATCAGTTGCACACATACGTGGAGACTGGAAAAGGGACCATCCCCCAAACTCTAATTCCTATGAAGTCCACTGCCTCTTCAACGACCACTTCCGCACTGGATGGATCAATGTCAAGGCAACTTAACGGCTGGTTACCAGAGTTTCAAATCATCTGTTATGGCAAATGAGGAGACTGCATGTCCTAGCAGCAATGTGACTCCAAAGACAACCAACCAACCAACCAAACCAACTCACTCCCTGCCATCAAGTGGATTCTGACTCACAGTGACCTTACAGGACAGAGCAGACCCACCCCTGAAGGTTTCTGAGACAGTAACTCTTTATGGGAATAGAACGCCTCATCTTTCTCCAGCCGAGCAGCTGGTGATTTCAAACTGCTGACCTTGCGGTAATTTACTATGCCACCAGGGCCCAGTGGGCTAAGTCATCTAGATAAAGTCATAGGCTGTTTCTCTAAACATTAATGACCCACATGTAACACAAAATAAGCCTCGCTGGTTCACACTCTGGCTTCCTTTATGAAGAGATGTGATTAGCCAGAGCAATACACCGGTCGCCTTTGGCAGACAACAGTAATATGCCTCAGTAGGCATTCACTAGCGATCCAGATGAACCAACCGATACAAAAAGAGGCCCTAGTGTATTCTAATTAATCTCACACTTAATGGCCAATGACTCACTTGAAAAGTGGTGTCCTCGTAACGACCCTTCTTCTGACTACATATGGATGCATTTTCCCTCATAAAGATCTGGTCAATTTGTACAATTAAATTGGACAAAATACTTAAGCTTCTCACTTAAAAGAACAGTTATAAATTAGAAGCACTGAACTATTACTACTCAAAGAAATTATATTTTGGGAATCCAACACAATCTAATCCCATTTCTAGTAGCAACTTCTAGGTTTTGCTGATGAATTAATGAATTAAGTGAACTGAAAAATGTCTGGAAAGGACATGAGCGGGGCGCTACTTAGCTACCACTGGAGAGATTCTGCCTGGAAGACAGGCCGGGTTTAACCCCAGGAAGTGACGATGACATCCCTCACTACGCACTCTTTCCTTTCTAAATTACACAGAAGGAAAAGCTTTCATGGCTTAATCAGAAAAGTGAAAGGGCCAGGGTGGGGGTTGGGCTGGTGGGAAGAAATCAACCTGGTAAGGTAAGTTTCCTTCGCTCATTACCTATGGAGGATTCCAGCTTTATGAATACAGCTCACCGCTGAGACAATCTGAAATAGGTACCAGACCACCATCTGCAAAGACAAAGGAAATTATAGTTGGGATTGGAAAGACAGACAAAATTCCACTTACATAAACACACACACACACACACACACGAAAGGAAGCTGCAACCAGAGGCTACGACTCAAATGACTTGACATCTCTTGCTTGTTGGTTGAGTAGGCAAAGAAGGTGGTAGGAGTCAGAAGAAAAAGCAGGTCATTACATCATATAGTAGTTCCCATATCATTAAAACTTATAGTATGGTGAAGCAGACTTGTGGAAAGAAACCCAGGAAAAAATGCAAAGGTATAGAAAACCATACCAGTATGCAGTAAGAGAACCAGGAAAAAAGCCCACAGAGAATCATGACGTGAAGGTAAAACGTTTAGGAAGCAGTTAGACAGCTTCCTTGTTAGAGGTTTCCTTTCTCATGAATATCAATCAGAGCCTGGGAGGGTTCTGAACAAAAGGAAAAGAACACTCTTCATTGTGGGAAGAGTCAATGCCAGTCACAACACTACTATTCACGGTCGCTCCACAAGAACAGCAGTACCTCCTCCTCAAACAGTTTGTCCTTCTGACGAAGAATTTTGTCGTACAGGTTCCCTCCTGCAATTAAAGAAGAGAGATTATTTGAGATTGGTTTGAATTGCGTAACAGCAGCCAAAGCTAGGACCTGGTGGTATCCAATGGGGTTTTAACAGGTGTCACAAGAAAATGGAGGATTCGGCTTCTCAAAAGAAAAAAAAAGAAAGAAAAGAAAAAGAAAGAAAACATCTCTTCCTCTTTTTTGACATTTCAAAACAAGTCCTCCTCTCTCAGAAATATCTTGCAAAGGTTCTCCTTCCTATTAAGAGTTCAATACGAGATGGGAGGGAGGCATTTTTGGAAAAGATTAGTGTAAAAACCATTCCAGTCATACTCGATTAGTGACATTTGCTTGAATGTCTCTGAAGTCAAATGATTTTCCTGAGACTCCTTTTTAAGGAATTTGCCGTATTTCTGTAACAGCTCTCCCAGTATGACAGGCACAACATTGGGGTTAAACCTGGGACATAAGGTGTTGGATGTGCAGGATGTATAAATACATATATATATGTATATATATACACACATACACACATGTATATGCATGTGTATATATATCACTGATAACTTTTTTTCCTACTTCTCACTGAAAAGGTTTCCCCAGATTTTTATTTTATTATTTTTTTTTTTTGGTTTTCTCATTATTTTTTTTTTTTTTAGTCTTTTATCTTTTTATTTTTTTTTATTTTTTCTTTTAAAAAAATCATTTTATTGGGGGCTCATCCCCAGATTTTTAATGTAACCATTAACTCCCTCCCCTAATTCTTTGCACTTCTCCCTTTTATTAAGTAATACTGACCACATATTACTATGCTTCATCTCACTTCCTACCTGCAACTATAAATTATACTCTAGTCCTGGCTAAGCTTTACAACTTCCCTTCCCCTTAAATTCAGAAGCTCAGTTTTGATTAAATGTATTATTTATTCTAGTTATTCCTAACCACAAAGGAAGTTAACTACTTGAAGTTCCTGCTACTTCAAAAGTCTTTCATACAATTTCATAGTACTGGGGTTGACCAGAAACAGTCATAACACACAAAATCTAGACAAGATTAAGATGTCTAAAACTTTCTCTTAGGGACTTAGATGAAGAAATAATCTGAGACCTCTTTAACATGCACCTCAGGAAAGGGCTGTGGAGGTTCTCTTGTGCAATGAGAATAACAGATCGTACCAAAACTCATTGCTGGTGAGCCAATTCCGTCTCATAGTGACGCTATAGGGCAGAGTGGAACTGTTCCTGTGGGTTTCCGAGACGGTAACTCTTTCTGGGAGTAGAAAGCCCCATCTTTCACCCAAGAAGCAGCTGGTGGTCTCAAACTCGGACCTTGTGGTGGGTGGCCCAACACCTAAGTAACTGTGCCACCAGGGATCCTGACAACTAGGACAGCACGTGTCATCTACCTGCTACAAACCAAGGGCTTGACATACCTTAATTCACTTAATATAACAATCCTAGGAGGTAGGTACAACCTAAATATGAGGAAAGTAAGGCACAGAGAAGCTGCCTGCCTGAGGTCAGAGCTTAAAAGACGGAGTCAGATCTGTTCTCTTATTATCTGGGCAACGTAAGCTCGGATCACAGTACACATCAACCAGAGGCCGGATAAGGAAGGCCAGGCTTTTCTAGGCATCCTTTTTGCTCAGTTATGAGTTACTGTTGTTTTTAAAAGCCACTTTTTACTAAGACAGCTATAGCTCAAGTCAGTAATAATTAAGAAGGGGCTTCAAAAAGTCTGTGGGAAAACGGAGCCAGAAGATTATGGAATTTCCCAGGAATCTCCTGGAGCCTTCTTGTATCACCTATACAATTTCATAGGTATTGTATCAACAGAGGCAGGCCATTTGCTTTTAATGCCTGGTTAACATCTTTTCCTGACAAAAACCAAAAAAACCTTTAAAAATGAACATAAAATCCAACCAGAGAGGGAACTATAATCACAAGAGACAAATTAAGTATGCAAGGACACTCCCTGCCCTCATTCTGTATCTCACTTCAAAACTCTCCTGGGCTTGACAGTTGTCTCACACACTAGAAACCTGTTTAAAGCCTTCAGCGCAGGCCTTTTCTTTTTCCTCCTCCTCCTCCTCCAGGGAAGTGTGAGCACAAGAGCATCCGCCTGGAGGAAGTCTGGAGTTGAGCTTACCATTACAATACTCCAGCTCAATCAGCAGGGTGGTATTGTCCATGAAGTGATTGTAGTAGGCAATGATGTTGTCGTGCTGCAGAAGCGCCAGGATCACAATCTCATTCAGGGCATCACGCCGTTCCTTTTCAGACAGTCGGGTCAGATCAACTTCCTTCCACACAACCAGTGAGTCATCCTACAACACAGTAACAGAGGCCTGGTGCTTTCCTCTTACATGGCAATGCGTGAATCCACACGGGGCCAACAAGCCTAGAAAGCATGCGTCTGCCATGAGCAAAGGCTGGACTTTTTTTCCTTTAAAAGGAACGTGAACATCACCTACAAGACAATGATTTGGGGAGTGGGGGCTGGTGGGGCATAAATGATATTTTAAAAGAAACATGAACAGACTTTAGTTAAAAGCCTACAAATGATGATGATTTTTTGCAGGATTAGGGAAAGTCTGAAGATGCTCTTACTTTGTGCCCCACTAATGTGACATACATGTCAGATCCTGGTAAAATCATAGTATGGAAATGGCCACCAAAGATAGAATAGTTGGTTACTTCCTACCTGGAGCAAAGAATGAAAAAAATCAAGATTCAAGGAAACAGCGACCCAACAGGAACCACAGCCTCCACTAATCTGAGGCCAAAAGAACTTGATGGTGCTCAACCATCTTACCAACCCTATGATCAGGATCACAATAGAGGGTCCTGGGCAGTGTTTGTGAAATGCAGAATTCAAAATCACACAAATTACACAAAAGAGCAGACTTACTGGTCTGCTAAGAGGTTGCAGAAACCCGAGACTACAGTCCTTTACATAGCCTTCCAACTTGGAAATGAACCCACGCCTCAAAAACAACAAAAAAACCTCACTGCCTTCAGTCAATGCTGACTCATGGCAATCCCCCCCTGTGGGCCTAGAAAGTCCTGTCTTTTGCCCTGGAGGCTGCTAATGGTTTTGAACTGCTGATCATACGGATCGCAGCCCAACTTGTAACCACTACACCACCAGAACCTACTCCTGGAGACCACCTTTCAGCCCAACAATAGACAGGCCTATACAGCAAACAGTAACACCTCTGAAGTACTAAAAGAGCAGCACTTGCCCCCAAAGTCCTGAAGGCTGGGACAGGAACGTTGGGCAAACAGAAATGGAGGCCCCTGGGGTAGAAGTGCGAAAAACGGTTACACTAAGGGACATTTGCAACAAATGTCACTCACAAAAGGTATAAAAACTGTTGACAAGAAAACGAACATGTTCTGTAAACTTTCAACCACATAATAAAATATCCCCAAACACAGATATGTGAGCTAGGGGTACATCCCACAGGCTGAGGCACGCTATGGCCAGGTACTGATAGCCACAATGGGGGCTGTGGAGGAAAGGAATGCTGGGACGGCAGTCATGTAGGGCAGTCATGTAGCGCTGACCACAACATCTGGGAAAAAGAGAAGACTGGGTTTCTATCTCATTCTATCGATGGCACTGGTGATTTTTGTTTAGTCTTCCCAGGTAAGTCACACTGTGTTCTTATCTTATTCTAGATAAGAGCAAGGCCAGCTAGCGGCCATGATGCCGACTGACGGTGACCCCATAATGTGAGCGCAAAAAAAACTTGAGTCACCGCAGTGATTCTAACACTACATTAATGTAGCACTCAGAAATCAAAAAGAAACACCCAAGCGCCTCTCTCCCCATCTCTTGAAAACCACACAGGACTGCGTCTGGATCACCGATGCTGGCTAAATGTCCAACTGTCCCAAAGGCTGAGCTTTAAGACAGTGACCAAACCCAGTGTGCAGGTGACTTTGGAAGAAGAGTCACCGCCAAAGGGTTTCAGCACAGTGAACACCCTTAGTGTGGGGCTCAGTGATCCACGGATCTCTCCCAGAGAGACACGCACACTCCAATATAAGCCGAGTTTTTCAGCACATGTGACATGCAGTTTTTGTGGTAAAATTAGGTGCCTTGGCTGAAATTCAGGTCGCCTTATACTCGCGTATATAAGGTACTCGTGCAAACAAGGGCTTCTTTTAAGGGGGAGGCTGGGAGTTTACGATGCTTCCATTAGGTTTTCAAAGGCATCGCAGTGCCCTCTTCAAAGGTTAAGCATTGCAGCTCATAGCGCCCGAATCGCCGTCCAGTCCTGTGCCACTCTCACAATTGCTAGGTTTGAGCCCACAGTTGGCGGCCACCGTGTCAATCCAGCCTTCCTCTCTTTCGCTGCCCCTCGCCTTTCCCAAGCAGGATGCCCTTCTCCAGGGACTGGTCTACGCTGACAACACGTCCATAGTACGCGGGACAAAGTCTCGCCATCCTTCCCTCTAAGGAGGACCCTGGCTTCAGCAGCCATGGCCTAGAATACCCATAAAGTATGTCCCGGGCCGGAACACTGCAGGGGACCCCCCGCTGAAACCAACACACGCCCAACTTCCCAACGACCTTCCAGAACCGTCTCCAGCAGAGGGTTCAAGGTAAGGGCAGCGGCAGCAGTCACCCAGGGGAGGGGTGGGGGGCGGGGCCCGGGAGCTAGGCTCCCCGTCCACTGAGCCGGCCCCCCACCCCGCACCCCGACCGTGGCGAGCTGCGCGGCCGGGAGGGCGGGTGCTTTGGCCACACCTCACACCGGCACCCCCCGATTTTACAGTCTGCAGGGCAGATGCCTCTTCGCATGGCCTTAAACCATAAAGCGCGTTCCTCTTTGTAGGGCCGCGACCCCGAGCCCGGTTCGGTCCCGGACTGAAGAACGAACGGGACAGTTAGTGGGCAGAGCCAGCCCCGTGCGGTCCGGGTGCACGTGCGGCGGGGAGCCCCGCGCAGAGGAGCCGCCCCCCGCCGGGCCGGGCCGGGCCGC